GGGAGAGGGGAGAGAGATGAGGAGAGGCGAGAGAAGAAGAGAGTAAGAGATTTAAAGAAAAGAGGGGAAAGAAGAAAGAATTAAGAATGACCTGATAGGGTGATCTAGAAATATTTTTTTTATTTAAGGACTGAAAAAGTTAAAATACAGGTTAAGAAAGAAAGTAATCAGATTGAAAATAGATATATTGAATTTTCTGACATTCATGTCATTTCCGACAGGCAAACAATCGTTGTAGCATTATAGTCATCACAATTTCAAATTAATAATAATAATAATAATGAAGTTAGTTAAATAAAATAAAAAATTTTAAAAAAATTAAAAAATATATTAAAAATACAGATATACTTAAAAATAAAATTTATAAAATAATTAAGTAAATTAATTGAATAAATTAAGAGATAAATAAAAAAACAAATTGCTATGTTATTATATTAAGCTCTCTTTGGATTAATATCCTCCATGGAATTATCACCACTTATTATATATATATATATATATATATATATATATATATATATATATATATATATATATATATATATATATATGACGGAATGTAGGCACACATCAGGAAAACTTGTCTTTTGTAGTTTTAGTTTTATGAAATTGCGATAACACGGTTTACTATAGTATGATATTTTATCGAGAGATGGCATTGCCCTCCTGTCTGTGGCATCAACCTAGAAGATGTTGTGTATCACATAGACCGACTACATTTACGGCCCTGAGACAAGAAATTGAAAATGAATGTGCCACAATCCCATTGGACATTTTGAACAAGTTTGGCCATGCAATAGTTCGCTTTACTAATAAATGTCTGGAAGCTAAAAGCAATCATTTTGAACATCTCTTGTGGTTGCTGAGGCCAAAGCTAACTTGTATTAATCTCGCGATGTTTAAATAAATTTAGTATTACAATATCTATACAAGTTTTTCATTTGCTGAAGTGTGTATACATTATTTTGGCAGTCACTGTATATGAAAGTTGAAATTGAGGGCAACACCCAGCGGAGACAGTATGTTTCATGCTTTAAAGCAATATTCATGTGTTGACTCAATGTCCACTTTTATATTTACATACGCTGTATCCCTGATATTGAGCACGTTGAGCATATAAATATAGCATACCTTAAACCTATATTTTTATCATATATATATATATATATATATATATATATATATATATATATGCAGAGTACAACGGGTAAATTGTCGCCATTTTGTAGCTTTTATTTCGCGCATGCGCGTTCTTTGTTTTTGATTTTCTCGATTTCACAGCATAGTAGGGTCAGTTGAGAATCGCCTGTGAGAAAAAGATCACCACGACGCAATTCACTCTGTGAGAGATTTGGAAACGACATGCTTTACTGCTTCACATTCGCGCTGGAAGCTCCAATACGAATATTTCAGAGTGTTTGGGTGTTAATCTGAAAACAGTGCAGAAGATTTGGAAAGAATGGGATTCGGAAAGAGTGAAATGAGTCTAATGGTGATTACGAAGTTACGGCTGTTCGGAAAACTCACTCTGGTCGTTCTGATAAGAAAAAAATTAAGAGCCTCAGACTCAACATGGAGGTCTACATCAAGTGCGTTGAGGAGGTAGTGCTGCCTTGAATCATGAAGGTGGCTGCTGAAGACCCTATGTCTGGCAACAGGACTCTGCACCTCGGCACACATGCAGAAGAACTTAGTCATGGCTGTCAGACAATTTCGGCGACAAGGTCACCGCTTACATCTGGCCACCTAACTCCCCAGACTCTAACCACCTTGATTATTATGTGGGGGGGGGCAGTTGAACGAGAGACCAAAAAAACTCTTTCTAACATCAAAGACATACTGAAGTCAAGGATTATTGCAGCATTCACAAACTTGAACAAGGAGTGCGCCCAGAAGTGTTGCAGTATTAATTACATTTACCGGCCTGAACGATCGAGAAATTTCTTTCTAGCTGAATGGTTGACGGCCCATCAGATCGAATGATGGCTCTCATTAAGGGTTACAGGTTCGCTTTGTATCTCAGAAACACATATTTTCTACGAAATTTCTTAAAGATTCATGTCAATAAATGTAATAAATACTGTTTAATTAAAAACAGACCATTTACTTAAATAAATTTATATCTAGAAAATAATGTGTAAACGGAATATATATATATATATATATATATATATATATATATATATATATATATATATATATATATATACAGTCGCGTCTATTACATTCACTTACATGTTAATACCCTAGTGTAAATAGCAGAACATACTGGGTTCTATAGCCTTGGATGGCAACTGGTCTAGGAAAAGGACAGGGCTGAATTTCAAAATCTGATGGGGGTCGTTTGGGGACCTTGTGGCACGTAGTGCACCATGTCTCTGTATTTGGCCCTTCAAAAAGTGTATTCGGTTATGCCCTAAGCCTTCACGACTATAATCAAAGCATATGTTCTGGTGTCTGGCTGTCGGTTCCTTGGACATGAGCTGCTTGGCCCTCATGCGGCGAACTTGGAGATGGGGAATTAACAGGAGATAACTGATAACTGACACCCATTAGACATGGCACGTGGTACTAGAACAGTCTACTCCAGCGAGCGAAATAAAGGGTTCAGTTCAACATTCCAACCACCTGAAGAAGGCCGAAGCGTACGACGGCCGAAACGTTGTGATAAATATGGCGACAAAAATGAGGACGATAGTCCGAACAATGTAAATAATGTACATAATGCAACATCTCAGAAATATAGACAAATACAAAAGTATTATCAAGTATCTGCATAAAAAGTATTTAGCCCTGAAGTTTATTTATGCTGACATTCTACACTGGGGGTGCTTCTCCAGCTTTATCAACAGTACAGAACTGAGAAGCTGAATTCTGGTGGAGAAGGGTGTGGCTTGAAGATGGCCCAAAGTCTGGACGTCCTGTAACTGCCACCACTGAGAGAAAACCATTGACCGTGTTCACCACGTGGTGTTGTATGACAAGCGATTATCTATAAATCAAATAGCCAATGCTATTAGCATATCACGTGAGAGATTTGAAAATGTTCTTCACGTGGCATGACGAATGTTTCAGTTCGGTGGCTGCTTCGTCTTCTGATACCTTAGGACACCACACAGAACACATCACGGAAAAATCTGATATTGTTTGAGACAGATCCGGACTGGTATTCTTGAAGCTTCTCTTAACACAGCATGAGTGTTGCGTTCACCCTTGAAACAAAGACACAATCTATGCAGTGGAAACAACACGCCCTTGTTGCTTTCTCCACAGTTTTGAATTCAGAGTTGTCCGTCTCCTAGAGTGACCGCCATACCAGACTTGAGAAGCCTATTTACTCTGCTATTTAACCCAAAGCTGGGAGAGACTGCTTTGGGTTAAATAGCAAACCGCTATATTCACTTACCACATCAATCGACGTTACACTATGCATAAATTAACATACTACGATCAAACATACTAACATACTACCCATAAAAAATGACGGGTATATTTAAGTGTAAATCAGTATTTATATCTAGAATCAAATTTTTATCTGTGTGTTTTGCTTGATACCTTAGAACGAACCCCCCATCCTTCAGGTTAGGTTTAAATCGTAGTACCTGTTCTTCAGCCATGTTTCTGTCTTTAGACAGTTCGCGGAGAATTTTTTGGTCCCAAGGATCCAAACCTCTAGACATAACATCATTGTCCTAAAGTGTGTGGGTCGGTCGGTGGAATAGACAGTGTTTGTTATTGGCTTATATGTATGCTTATCCGCGCTCCACATTAAACTGGGATAGTGTCACATCTCAACACCGCTGGGATGCGTGTAAATGCATGATAAATTTAGCATGTACGTGCCCATCTACACTTATTATATGCAAGTTAATTTTATTCCGCCGCTTAAGCGAAAAAAATACTGGATAATAGACAGTCCACTGGTCAACTGACGTCCTGGTCGGCATTCAAGTCCGGGTAGAAATCATTTGATAATTTTATATATTTGTTAAATTTAGCCTGACAAAATTTACTGTTAGAGAAGCAAAGATAAAGTTACATTGTCGATTATGTCTCATAATATTTTATATATTTGTATGCATAGCTTATACACTAACTGTGACAGCTATCATGGGGCAGGGGTTGTATGTGATATTGTCTATAAGATTTACTCTCAGACGGGAAAGAACTGTGACGGGTAAAAACATAGTTGGTGACCAGAAATTAAAGATGGTACATTTACGAAGGTGAAGAGCTACTCATTTTGATGCGAATAAATGTTCTTATATCGATTTCTTTGAATGTTTCAAGGTGGGGTTGCGTGAATGTATGAGTGCATTGGTTAGTTGTGTAGTTGATTTCGTTCAGCTTCATATCAATCTCTAATACCGAAATCGAAATATTCTGTATGTAATTTTATTTTATTTTTAGAGATAATAATGGTTTAGTGATACAAGTTTTTGTTAACATATAACTGGATAGGAGGGGCACCTCGATGTAATGTAATGGTTAGAAAGCTGGCCTTGCCAGATCAATTATGATTGAGTAGTGAGTTCGATCCTCACTGGGTGCCCCATACTTTCGGCCTTGTGCCACATCTAAGCCGGGCTTAAAAAATCACTATACCTGGAGAGGAGAAGCGGTGGATTGATAGCTTACCCAAAGATATTTGCGCATAAATAAATATACCAAGGCCATCTGGAATTGGAACTCAGCTCTCCGATTAGCAATTCCTAGCTGTTATCCATTACACCACCCGCACATCCAATCTTACTGCACCTTATGTTCCCAAGCGGTTACCCATCTAGGTACTGTTCAGGCTCGACATTGGTTAACTTTGGTAGTCGCACAGTACCGGTGTTTCAATGTGATGTGGCGGTAAGCCGTATGAGTGCGTGTAGGTGTGTGTATATTATTGATATCACCTGATTTGATTTCTTGTAACAGCGATAAGTGGAATTGATTAAACACAGTTGGAACCAATCAGCATTTTTATTTCACTAGGTATTGAATACATTTGATCAAAGGCTTCTTTTAATCAGGCGTGTCTTGGTACTTTCATGAATATAAAATAGATAGATAGATAGATAGATAGATAGATAGATAGATAGATAGATAGATAGATAGATGAAATCACTATGATAAATAAATGAGGATATAGTAATCAATACACTAAGATATAGAAAGTAAGATACACATCATAGATAGATAGATAGATAGATAGATAGATAGATAGATAGATAGATAGATAGATAGATAGATATGAAAAGACTGGGATAGATAGATAGATAGATAGATAGATAGATAGATAGATAGATAGATAGATAGATAGATAATGAAAAAACTATAATAGATAAATAAGTACATAATAATCATACACTGATAGATCGATAGATAGATAGATAGATAATGAAATCACTATGATAAATAAATGAGAATACAGTAATCAATACACTAAGATATAGAAAGTAAGATACATACCAGATAGATAGATAGATAGATAGATAGATAGATAGATAGATAGATAGAATAAGAATAATCATAGGCGAGAGAGAGTTGAACACTGAGACCGAACAAGAGGATGGAAACATTTTATATGATATATAAAGGAGGAAACGCAAGACTGGATGTACTTAAGGTGCGAAATGATTTCCTTAAACAAATGCAAAAATTGAAAATGATGTACGTTAAAAATGTAGTTCTGTCTAACAAGACCAGAGAAACAGAGGAAATGGATCATTCTGTTCAAACTGAACGAAAATTCAACAGCCCAGTCTTCGTATATACAGGCTGTAACAATAATACTTTACTAACTTGGGGGGGCGGGTTTCTCATACCTAAACAAGGACAAAAGTCCATATAAACTTATCTTCATAAGTCCTTCGTTTTTGAGTTAAGCGAGTTTACGGTATATGGCGCTGTGTTGCCATAGAGACTGGGTTCCATTTGTCATTCGTGTACATTTGTGGCTAGTCTATATTCAAAGTTTAACGCGTGTAGTAGTGAGTTAACTGAGAAGTGTTCCGTTTAACAATGGCAGGATATAAATATCGTGAGCAGGCAGATCTGATTTTTACATATGGCCACGCGAATGGAGGCGAGGCTGCACGGCTGTATCAGATGGCGTTTCCAGACGAAAGGCAGTTGAGTCAACCAACCTTTGCTGCTGATCCGTGGCACCACAAACTATGGATCGAGGAAGACCGAGATCCACTCGTACTCCTGACCACGAAGAACACATTCTACAGGCTATCGGTGACGATCCATTTATCAACACACTTTAACTTGCCCTAGCATGTTGTACACCTAATAGTACCACATGTAGGATACTTCAAGAGCAGCTAATATATCCGTATCATTTCACCGTGTACAAGGACTTTTGCCCTCTGATTATTCACCACGGGAGAACTTTTGGCGTTGGTTTATTGCAGAAATTGCCGATCCATTGTTTGTCTCTTCAATCTCGTATACAGATGAGGCAACATGTTTATATGTACTATTGTCTTTGTTTTGGTGTAAGGAACACGTCCCTAAATTTTGTAAATGTATTTTTGATACACTCAGCATATATATATATATATATATATATATATATATATATTCCATCCTTAGTCATGATCATTCTGTGTTCAAATTAAAGGTATTGGAAACGATCTATGTCAAGTCCAGGCCGCCCTCCCTCTGTAAACAGTCTTGCCATTTTTATTCCCATAATGTATATATATATATATATATATATATATATATATATATATATGCATGGATTGAGATTTCACTCCGTACCTATATGTTGCCTTGTGCAATAAAAGCGGCAAAGAACAAAAGTGTAGTTTATTATAGTTTATTAGTAGTATATATTTTTCTCTTTTCTTTTACATCAGTACAGTTTTATTACCACCAGAATCTCTCTCTCTCTCTATATATATATATATATATATATATATATATATATATATATATATATATATTTGTATGTAGGTATGTATGTATTGTTAACATTAATATACATTTTGTGCCAAAATATTAACTAATCTTTTTCTCTAATATACGAATATATACCGTTTGATCATTACGTGCGGTGTGTACAATGTAATCGACGTAGGGTGTTGAATTCGTCGTTCACGGGTTTCGTTATTCCCCCACCACCCATCCATATCGTAGGAGGTATTTGAAAGGTTTCCCGACACTCGCTGGGACATTGCGAAGTCAGCGCTTATACCTGAAGTGAAGCGCCGGTGCAGCCCCGGACATTTAATGTCATCACAGACCTGTTGTCGCTCCGCCTCGTGTGGCTTTCCGCCAAAAGTCTCTCTAAGAATTGCGTGAGAAAATCGACCTGGAGCCGGACGCGATGAACGCCGAGCCCGCTGTTGAATAAACACACAAATCGGCGCACTAGTTAGCAGGCCGGAATGTCGTTCATTACCGGAATGAACAAGACGGTTCGCTCTATCAACTCAGAATGGCCACCACCTAGCGAATCGAGAAAGAGCTACCGATCTGTCAATCTTACAAGTGTCCGGACTGCGCGGGTTTCTAGTGTTAGCGAAAGTGATTACATTCAGATATGCTGTCTCATGTAACTAAGAAAATTAAAGTAAAACATACTTTAATGACCCCGTCTTTAATAAACGAGTAATAATGGTATATATATATATATATATATATATATATATATATATATATATATATATATATATATATAGTGAACCAGAGAAACCTACTGAGGTTTCACCTAAGCGGACCCGCTTGGGTGATCACTAGGTTTATCTAGGTCTGCTCTACGGTTGTATTGAGCTCTTTTTGTTAGTTAGTTGTTTATTCGTGTCGGGTTTTTCTTTGGGCTTCAAGCCTGTATCTGTGCGATTTTTTCGACAGACTTTCATGTTTCTTGCTCTTTCTTTTCTTTAAAACCTTTTCGCTGGGCACTACATCATTTTTCTCTACCACCGTTCAACCCTTGGATTGGGTATTACATCATTTTTCTCTACCACCGTTCAACCGGTAGGTAGCATTACATCACTTTTCTCTACCACCGTTCAACCAGTGGCTGGGCATTACATCATTTTTCTCCACCACCATTCAACCGATGGCTGGGCATTACATCATTTTTCTCTACCACCGTTCAACCGGTAGGTTGCATTACGTCATTTTTCTCTACCACCATTCAACCGGTGGCTGGGCATTACATCATTTTTCTCTACCACCGTTCAACCGGTGGCTGGGCATTACATCATTTTTCTCTACCACCGTTCAACCGGTGGCTGGGCATTACATCATTTTTCTCCACCACCGTTCAACCGGTGGCTGGGCATTACATCATTTTTCTCCACCACCGTTCAACCGGTAGCTGGGCATTACATCATTTTCCTCTACCACCGGTTAAGCGATGGTCAAGGCTCAGAGTTAATGACACAGTTTAAAAAAAAAATGTAAAAAATGTTTCGTGTCATGCCTTACGTTCTTTCAGACTTCATCAGATTAGTGATGCTAATATTGATGTAAGTACACATGCACTCGAAGAGGAGTGAACACCAAAGTTAGTAAATAAGAAAAAAAGTAACATTCTGAGATAACTGATTAAAAATAAATCGGTAACTGCCTTTGAATTGAAATAAATTTGGCTTTGTCACCATTGAAAATTACGCATTTATTTCAGTCAGTAAGCAGACCGTGTTAGATTTATGTAGATTTCATATAAAATAATTTAGTTGAGAAATACTAGGAAATTAAAAAAAAAAAAAAACGTTTTTGGTTTTTCTTTTTGAAATAGGCAATCAAAATATGATTGGAAAAGAAAAGGCCAAAAAAGGAAAAATTGAAATAAAATTATGTATTATAAAATTGACATGAAATAAAATAAAAAAAATATGAAAGATTTATATCCCCAAAAAATAAATTTGGTCATACGTTTCCTTTCTGCAACATTTCTTGATAATTTCATTCTCTCTTTGCATATCTTCCTCCTCTGTGTTTATAGGTATCTATCTCAGTTTTTCCATTTCTTTCTATTTCAGTCTGCTCCTTTCTTTCTATCTTAGCCTGTCCCTTTCTTTGTATCTAGCCCAGTTTGTTCCTTTCTCTATATATATCTCAGTCTGTTCCTTTCTTTCTAACCATCTCAATCTGTTCTTTCTAAGTCTTTTCCTTTCTATTTCAGTTTATACAGAATCTGTCTAAGTCCATTCTGTTCTATCTCAATCACAGTTTATACATATTGATTTCTCTCTCACATATTTATATATATATATATATATATATATATATATATATATATATATATATATATATATATATATATATATATATATATATATATATATATATATATATATATATATAATATTAGAAATTTCTTAGAAAATATACGTTCTCCGACAGGAATTGAACTTGTATTCCTCTTGGGGAAGCGGCCATTTTATCTGAATTTGTCAACCATTCAAGCCGGTAAGTGTTTATAAACAATAAAGGTTCTCAGGCCTACCAACGAAAAATATATATATATATATATATATATATATATATATATATATATATATATATATATATATATATATATATGTGTGTGTGTGTGTGTGTGTGTGTGTGTGTGTGTGTGTGTGTGTGTGTGTGTGTGTGTGTATAATAATGACTTAGGAACTAAAATGTTGCAGAAGATTGAAAGTATGGAGTACCCACTGAACATTGAACTCACAATTTTGGGAAAAATGGTAGTCACCATGGATTGTTTATTCACGCTGTTAATCTCTCTGTTTAACTGACTCACTTTCGTTCTCTCTGTCTTGCACTATATATATAGTACATATAAACATATTGCCTCATCTGTATACGAGATTGAAGAGACAAACAATGGATCGGCAATTTCTGCAATAAACCAACGCCAAAAGTTCTCCCGTGGTGAATAATCAGAGGGCAAAAGTCCTTGTACACGGTGAAATGATACGGATATATTAGCTGCTCTTGAAGTATCCTACATGTGGTACTATTAGGTGTACAACATGCTAGGGCAAGTTAAAGTGTGTTGATAAATGGATCGTCACCGACAGCCTGTAGAATGTGTTCTTAGTACTATATTTATACGTTAAAGTCGTCAGTATCAGGGATAGTGGGTATGTGAATATAAGGTGGACATTGAAGTCAACACCCAGTGGAGACATTATAACCACTGCGTATAAGTTTGAAGTAACTGTCGCCGCTGGGTGTTGACTGTCGCCGCTGGGTTTTATGAAGACAAATATCAGGACGCAACGCGTCCGCTACGAATAGTTGACATCTTTTCTCTTTTCATGCCGTTCCTTCACTATCTGAAAAAAATATATATATATTATATATATATATATATATATATATATATATATATATATATATATATTAAAAAAAAATAGACCACTTTAAAGGTACGATTATAATAATTTATTTCACAGAGTCCTTTTAAAGGACGCCCGGATCATCAATAGCACTTCCAAAAAATGAAAATCATTTTCATTTTTGGAAGTGCTATCTGATTATCCGGCGTCCTTTAAAAGGACTCTGGTGAAATAAATTATTATAATCGTACCTAAAGTTGTCTGTTTTTCTTTAAATATTATCTCTGATTTACATTGAGCTCTCAGGATTTCAGCCTCTTTTGGGATTACCCATACGGATTACCAAGTTCTTCATAACTTAAATATATATATATATATAGAGAGAGAGAGAGAAACAGAGAGAGAAACAGAAAATCGATTACTTGAGTGTAGTTCACGTTCTGTATCCTACAATTGTAATCTCGTGCCTGATAACGGCTTAGCAAAAGCAATGTAAGCACAAACATATGTGCCTATTAAACATTGATTGAATGTTTTGTTTTTTGGTTTTTTGTTTTCGCAGAACAAGTCACTGATATGGTGACTGCCATTCTCCCTAGATAACTAACATATGTGCTTTTATGCCAATTTAAACTAACCGAAATAAATAACGCCATTAATGAGGCATTTACCTTTCTGTAAAATATAGATAAGGAGAACAAAATGTATGGAAGAGTCCTATAAAATCGAAAGCACATTGCTGCTTAAGTCGGGAACAGACTTCAACAAATCTCGTATCAAATTATTGATTGGTTATCGATCAAATTTTAGAGGTTGAAATACGCGCGTACAGACCATTGATTTTATGATCATGTGTAGATGTTCTGAATGAAATGTGACGCAGAGGTTAAAGTGTATTTGCATATAAATGTACCAAAATGATTTTTCATGTAAATATATTCATGTTTCTATCAAACAATCAATGAATCACACACACACACACACACACACACACATATATATATATATATATATATATATATATATATATATATATATATATATATATATATTGTGCAAGTTAACATAAAACTTATTAGCACGGAAGATGGAATCTCAATTTGGATTTCGATCGTGTCTTTCTTGATTTCGCCCTATGCCTTTGGGTTTAGACGTAAATGTAATTTGGCATACGGCTTATCCCATTACAAACCATATTGCGACAAATTCCACGTTACTGTCATGCCACAATAATTAAGAGATAAGTATGTGAGCAACTGATTATCTAGGAAAACCATTCTCAACCTTACAGCTAAATCTACAATAACATTAAAAAAAAATGCTAGTAAGTTCATTTTAAAACTTGACTTAATAATACCTCGACGCAGTCGTTGGTCGACTGTAGTAGAGATTATAGATATTATGTACTCCATAACCTTATCGATGGCTGTATAGTGTCTGCTAAGCCAGGGCGACATACGGATTTGAATTCAGAGTGTCCCTGGAATGGTTGCCAACGACAGCTAGAAACCCTAGTCTACTCTGCTATTTACCAATTATCTGGGAAACAATTTGTCAAAGATATGTATCCATAGATTTCCAAAGGCTTATTATGCGAAAATGAATGTAATGAACTCCTTTTTAATTAGAAAAGAATTCACCGTACTCTACTCCGGAAACGCTAACCACCTGCATATATTACAACCTTAGCATGGTGATAATTATAAGTAATCATAATTTTTCCATCACCATGTATATATATATATATATATATATATATATATATATTGTCTGACGATCGCTAAAGCGTGAAACCCAGGGTCACAAACTCACATCTATCCATCCAAATATGTTAGCTCTATCTCTGATATTGAGCGCTTTCTAATAAGTACCACGCATATAATATATAAATG